GGTACCCATCCCTATATATAACTATAATTGGAATACATGTATGTGTCAGTAAACAGGTAAAAAAAACTACACTTGTACACTGTATTTACTTAATGGGAGATGCAGACATATAATACACTGGATAATCAGCTAAGTAGTAGTGGTTCATGTATTTCTTTATTTTGGTATTATTTTATCTTCTCAGTCTTTTGTGATTCATGAATATTTTCAAGGAGCTGTGACCTTTAACATGTTCCGTTTTGGATTATTAAATACCAATTAGGTAGAACTTGGACTGAAAATCATTTTTACTGCTGCACTGATTCTGTCTGGATCTAAATTCCACCTCTCCTCACTGCTCTGTTGTTCTAAAGCAGCCTCTCACACACATATAACTGTGTTCTCTGTTCTTCAAAGACACCTCGGTAGCCTGAGGGAAGGCTCTTTTATGCTTTAAGCCATCAATTGACCAATCAGGGATTGCCCAAGCAAAGTGACAGTTGCCACGGGGACAGAAGAGAGTACACAGAGCAAACTATTTTTAATGACAGCACTTTTACTATAAAGGTACCTGAAAAAGTCTAAAAAACACTTTGTAGTCCGGCCAGAAGTTGACGGGGCCCAGAACAGCATATACACATTACCTGCAATAATTAGCCTGAATAACTAAAGGAAGGTGTGCATGTTATCCTTTTTTTAACTGCTAGGTGGTCTCTATTACATCTCTGACAAGCCATCATCGAGATTGAAGTCTTCTGCACCCCTGACCGTTTCATCAAGGAATTACATTTGGAACATCAAAGATGCAAAAATGACATCATGAAACATGAAGAGAGGCAGAAATTCATTTTTCCCTTCCATCAATCTGCTTGCTGTTCATAAATGTCAGCCTTAGGGAAATTGAATGGCACCATTTTTCTGTGTTTATTAGGCTGGGATGAACTCAGTCTCATCGACCTTTCAGAGTACATACCCACACCAAGTTAATTGAAGATAAGTCAAACTTGGAGTTCCAATGGCTGGCAGAGTCTGAGCGCTAAGATCCCCGAGGATACATTGCCTCGATTAAAAAAAAGAAGAAGAAGAAGAGATGAAGACAGGAAGTTCATTGCAAGATAGGCTTGAGTCCACTGGGAGAATGTCAATTTTTTATTACTTAAATGCCCCGTCTTAAATGCCAAAGTAGTATAATCCCACAAGTCATTACTGATTTGTGGCGAGTTGCTCTCAATAGTGATTTTGGACTGTTTGTTTTAGCACATTCATTATTTCAAACCAGACTCTGATCTCAAACGGAAATTAAGAACTATATTTACTAAAGAATCAGTAAAATGTACTGTTGTCTGAATAAATTAATTTATTTTTGCTTTGATTTGTTGTGTTATTGATTTTAGAAAAAAAAGATTTAAAAAAAGATATATTAATTATCATATATGTTATTTATCAGGGCTTTGATAATCTTGGCAAAAGAGTGACATCTAGCTGCTTTAATGCCACCATTAAGTTAAGCTAATTAGTGCTAAAATTCCCAATGAAATCAAGCCTAGCATGTTAGTTCATCCTTTCCAATTAGAATAAAAACTTCACATCAAAAGCAGTTCTCACAAGCAGAATTTTTATAGAAACCATTTAAAACCAACCATTTTCAACCTGCTAAAAAAAAAAAAGAACAGAAAAACATCATTGTAGGCTGAATTTAGCCGAACACAGCAACTGGAAAAACCCATATGGAAGCTTAAGGCTTAGACTTGGTTTCCACAAGTAATCCTTTAGAAAAGTTTAAAACAACAACAACAACAACAACACATAGCTGGAGACAAAGTACAGATTAAACTACTTAAAAATACTACTTAAAAATTTAGGACACTTGCATTCAAATCATCATTCCATCTCTCTCCCGCAGCAAACACCAGTATACTGTGCTTTCAAGAGCTCCAGCTACTGGCACTGACCTTAAATTCTACTTGCATTTCTACCCACCAACAAGCAGAGCTGCCTGCATCACCTTTAAATTCTCCTTAGCCTCCATAATCCTACATTTGTTACATTATGTTATTTAGCAATCAATTTGTTATGAAAGTTCAGGAAATTCCTACTTCACATTATTTTTCCACCGCCAGGAGTGGTTACAGCTACTTCTAGGGACACATTTAATGTGATAGTCTGACAAAAAGGCTCTCATTCTAAGTGATGTCCCCACCAGACACCATTTTCCACCTCCCCACCCAGCCTCTGTCAATATACATCACAAAGACTACTCTTGTTTAGTGTAGCTGCTGTGATTAAAGTGAAGGCTAAGAAAAAACCCAGTATGTTCTTAGAATAGCTGTATCATACTTTGGGCTGTTTCACCCACAACACAGATCATCTAAAACATGTCTATGTAGGCTATAGGTTTTGCTATTTTGACCCCTCTGACAGCATTGTTAACAATGCTGTCAGAGGGATCTATATCATATATATGCCACAAATGTCTGAAATCTGCCCTACATGTGCTTTATTAAAACCCACAGTGGCAGTGAAGGCGTAAAAAAGTTGCCTAGACTAAGACATCCATTTTCGTTTAAGCCAAACTGGGTTCCAAACCACAAATAAACAAGCCACTGCAAAATTCAGGCTCCATCAATATTTCAGTCATGGCTTCATGTAACTAAATCAAGTACCCAGCTGTCTGTTTAGCGCGCACCCCTTGTCTCCACACTGGCTCCGTGCTCTCGGTGCGTCCTTGGACTTCCTAATGTCGTGGTACACAATGGCACGGGAGGTTGTAATTCAAATTGGGGTCAGGGGACCCGGGGCACTAAGTGAACATTAAACCGCCTCCCATCCGGTTGGCCTCTGCCCCAAATTTAAATGAGTCATTTCTTCCTTTTACTTCAATTACGTTATGTACGAAAAAAAAGGGAGTTCATAGAAAGGAATCCGGTAACAATACGTTCCATTATGAATGTTTGCCTTTCTCTGAGCAGAATAAACAGACAATAACAAGATGTTCGTGACCCTGAGCCACCCCCACCCCCTGCACGAAGCCATTAAAAAGTCCCGATGCTTCAACAAAGCCCGGAGCCTTTAAACATCCACGGCGCCTCCAGGTGGACCACCTGGGTGCATAAAAACCACACCGTGCCTCTCCTCCCTGAGAGGCGCGCAGTGTGCGTCTGCAGCAGCCGCAGCAGCAGCAGCATACTGCGAGAACAATAACTTGTTTTTAGTGATGTGCGCTGACGCTGGAGTGACGGATGGTGGAAGGTGACAAAGAAGGGGCTATAGGGATGGTGCATGAACCAGTGACTCGAGACGGGACAGGATGAGGAGAGAGGCTACTTACGCTGCTGTTCTCTCCTGTCCAGTGGACCATCGCCTGGTTGTGGGTCGCATCCCCTTTGAGCACGAACGAGCTGCTGAGCAGGGACATTTGTTTATCCCAGGACAGGGCTCTTCTGAAGCGGGGTGTGCTCCCCGCCCCGACAGCTTTCTGGCCCGGCAGGAAGCCTCTTTCTCCGCCGTTCAAGTCAAACGTGCGATCCTCCCAGCCTCGCCGGTTTAAAGCCACGCTGCCACAGCGCACGGGTCCCGGTAGTGCCATCCAGGCCGAGACGGTCAACAGAAAGACGCAGAGGTACGCAGCGGCTGAACCCGGTTCTTCGGGACGGAGAGGTGCCATGCTTTACGCCGTACTAGCGCCCGTAACGCGGAGACTGATGAAGAGACTGCTGATGCTTGTGGGAGATAGATAGGTGTATACTGTAAACCGAGGAAGAGAGAGTGAGGGAGGGATAGAGGGAGGGGAACTGGAGCGAAGTCAGACAGTGAGAACAACGTGGACGAGTCTCGGTGCCAAGTACGAACCACAGGACGATGCAGCGGTGCCATCTGCTGTCCTGCAGCTGTACTGAGCTCGCATCACTCCATCCATCTAAATAAAGAGTTCCAACATGACGGCACTGCCTAAAATCACTGCCGTTATTGTTAACAACATTGTGTGTTTCTTGTTGGTTTCACATCAGTGTCACAGTGATCCACAACTGACGTAGTTGTGCAGTGGTTTAGTCTTCGCGACCTTCGTCTGCTTATCTGCTGATGTCAGGGCATAGACTGATAATCAGCAACTCCTGATGGTCACTTAATAACATGCTTAACCACTGTTGAGTCTATAGCTTTTATGTTCGGGTGGGAAATATGCTGAAAATACATTTATGCATTAAACTTACATACACACTGACATTTTCTGAGTTAGATTTAGTTGCTTAATGCTTATCTGTTTTATTCTATTTGTTATATTTATGAGTACCATGGACATGTTTAGTAACTTTGTGTCAGATAAAGTGAACGGGGTTGAATGAGTTGGTCATATGTTCTAATTTATATTTATTTCTTTAACGTAACTTTTTCTTTAATTTAACTGATAGAAACAATAAGATGACCTTAAAAAAAAGCATGCGTGACATTCGTCCCTCTGTGTATTGGTTGCCAGCTGGCCAAAGGGTCAGAGTTCACATTTGATCTCACAAAGTAATAGCTCCACTCCCTGCATCTGTTCTCGTATCCAATTACACTTGGAGGCAGAATTAAACTATGACTCTGTGGTTTTGGAGTATTTGGGGTTATATGTAAACAAGAGTTCACCTTTGGCATGTTTTTCTAATATAGCAGGTATTATTTTTGCTCATCATAGAGTTAAATCCATAAAAACACTGTACAAAATCAAAAAGCTTAACATGTCTTTATTAGTCTCAGGGTTTGCTTATAAAACTGAAGGGTTTAACTGCGGTAACCTTAGTAACTGCCATTTCAGTGAAGATTGATGTGATGTGGAAAACATGGAACATTTTGAGAGTGATTATAGTTTCAGGGCTTTTATGTTGCGACAATTCCATGAGAATTACCGTCCCAATTTCTTTACAAAACTGTGGGACTGTAAAACCCTGGGTTTAGTGGTTTGCAGCTCTAGGTATATAAAAATGAAACTCCGTTGAATATCAGTTTTGCCTTTGGATTTCTTCCTTCAAATCAGGTTTCCATGATCAAAGGGGGCGTTCACCTGTAATTGTAAATCATCCAATATGAATCCTTGCTATTTAAAAATATCTGTCTTTTGTCAAAGTCTCTTTCATATAATAGATGCCACAAGGAGGGAAAGTCCAGTTTGCGCCCAGAATTACAAAGTGTTGAAAGAATCTCAAGTTGCTAAATATTGTGAAGTAAAGGCCCAACAATATTATCAACAGAACCTCAGGGATAGGATAATCTAGCAGCAAGCACTTGGCAACAGTGGGGAACAAGAACTCAATTTTAACAGTAAAAGGCCTAATCAGAAAGATGCTAACGGAGGGGAAGTCATCTTCTGTGACTGGTTGTGGGGTGCATGGAAAGACAAGAAAGAAAAGGAGAGCATAGAGACAGCAGGAGCAATAAATATGATTATATTACAAAAACAAAAAAAGTTCAATAAGTAGTGATAATTAGAGGGAATTTAATGTGATTTATTGATGTACAGAATTCAGTTTGAAGTTTTTGGCAATTAGATGGCCCGTCACAGCAGAACAGAATCCCAGCGGTGATTGGAATTAGGACAAGACTCCCTGGAGTCTAGACGCTGGTGAGATGACGATGGAAGTTTGAATGGAGCCTGAGTGACAAGTGAGAAATGGTAATGGGGAAGAAGTGTATTGCACGAAGGCAACTGCAAGGGAGAGTGACAAATGTGCAGTGAGATTTAAAGGTCTAGACGATTGGACTAGACCCGTGATGTCACTATCAGCTTGACAGTATGGGAAAGTACAAGTGATGTAAAGCTTAGATTAGCCACCAACATTAGCCACCTTATTGCTCGTCTATCCCAGTTTGTATGTTTCTGTGTGTGCATGTGTATCTGAGTATGTTGGTTATTGTGTAGCAGCGGGACTCAGTGAAGATTTCCCAACTTTTGGTTCTGGATACTTGCTGGCAATCATGTACCTGTGTTGATCTTGTTAACAGCCACAACTTAGGGGAGTGGCTGAGCTTCAGTCAGTGCTGGATTGTTGAAGGACTACTGTCAGTGTAAATATGGTTATGGTATTAATTTATGGCATTGCATATGTACAGGAACATGTAGACAGTGTTGGGGAGTAACAGAATACATGTACCGGAAAAAAGGAAAATTACTAGTTATCGTTGAGCAGAAACGGGAGCTGGAAGCATGTAAATATAATAATAACCACTGCAGCCAAGAAGAGAGCCTGACGAGCCCAGTTGTAAGTAAGCTATTAAGACTCGACTGTACACCGTGTTCGTGTTTTCCTCCGAAACAATAAGTTCCGTTGGAGCAGCCTTTCAACGCCTCTCTGTCTCTGGCTAGCAAAGTTGACCCAGACAACAAAGTAAAGCTAGTTTTCAGCTATGAGCCCGACACGAACCCACCGTATTAGCCAGAGGTCCCTTTACTATGGTTCGGAGCCGCGGACCTTCAGTAACAGTAATAAATCACAGCAATAGTACATTCATGTAGTTGTAAACAGCATGATAATATATTAAGTAATCCAAAGTATTCAGAAAATGTTACTCGCATCGAGTAACGTGACGGAATACGTTAATACTTACGTAACGGAATATGTTACAGAATACATTTTGGGGCATGTATTCTGTAATCTGTAATGGAATACATTTTAAAAGTAACCTTCCCAACACTGCATGTAGAGAGAGTGGAGAGAAAATTGTAAATACTGAGTAAGCTGAAGTGGAGAGCAGCCTTGTGAGAGGAATCACTTGCACCTGGGATTGGGATCTTGTGGACCTTTTCACGGTACTGAAGGATTCCTGCTTCAGTACCGTCCCTGCTTTGCCTCACAGCAATTCTGACACTTTACTTTCTTTAAGAACAGACCTTTAACATTTTTGGTTTTATTGTTACACACAGAATTGATTCGCTTTATATAAGCTTTCCTACACAATTTAACAAATATTCACTTCATGCATAATCATTACACATTTCATGTCCTTTCCATTGCTTTGTTAATAAGCAATAATCTTATATTTATAGTCATATGAAAGAAAGTTTTCCCAGAACTCTGTGCAGTCCTGTGAAAAACTAGCTACAGCCTGTTTCCACACTGGAAGTTGTTGCTGCTTCCATAGGAATTGAGATGGTGAATAGCAGCCAAGTGCTGTTAATGAAATGCACTTGATTAACTGATCATCAGCAAGTGTGATAATCTCTATAAAGGAGCAGGTTTTTTTGGCAGGTTGTTGGCCTGGTGCATTTGGGTGCATGTTAATGCCACAGTGTTCCCAACAGTGGATGTCCCAACAGACTGTTAATAATCAGAGAATTTGCAAAAATCCCAAATTGTAAGAGACTGGTAGAGTCACACAGCTCTACTTCCTGGCTGTGGCTCAGAAGGTAGAGCAGGTCACCTACTAATTGGAAGGTTGGTGGTTTGATCCCCATCTGCTGTGGTCTGCTGTGGTCTGCATTGGACAAGCGTAGAAAAAAATGTTTGTGTGAATGAGGCAAGTTGTAAAAGTGCTTTTAGTGCACTGTTAAGAGTAGAAAAGCATTATATATATGAACCAGTCTGTTTACCCTTTACAAAAATAATTACTTTGAGTTAATACTGCTACAGGTGGTTCAAAAAGCTAATGAATTTTGGGCTTTAGTTACAACTATAAATGTAGTTGTAACTACATGACAGTTGGTGTCATGTATCATGTGTGATTTGCATACATGATATAAATCTGTATAAGCATTCTTGCTTATTCGGATGTTTTATCTGTAATTGTGTCTTCATGTTTGTAAGATGTCTAGCAATATCTTGTTCTTACCAGAGACTCAGGGATGTTTAGATTTAGGAGGAAACAGACAAGGTTATGTTTACCGGGTGCAACTGTGGTTGCATAAAGGATTTCTGCTTGTGCAGAATTCAATAGGGAAACTGGCCTCGTGTTCCTCTGGTGGATCACCGGCATCAAGTTTTATATACGGTCTTTCTCTCTGGAATTTGAATTTTCTTGGATATTTCTCAGATGCGCTGGTGTACTCTCACAGTCCAGTGATATGAATGTTAAAACAGTTTAGTGGTTCTCTAAAGATTTTTAGGCACATTCCAGTTAAGAAGCCAAAAACATGTGGACGCTGCACTGAGACTCACTGGGTTAATGAGATGATGATGAGATAGCCTTTATTTGTCAGTTGCAGGTCTTTTGCCCACAACCGACATGACAGACCGTACATACAATACACAAACATCACATTGGGGAGACAGGTCAGACTAGGTAGCGAGGAAAAAAACATCGAAATGTGTAACACAGAAGGATAATACAGGAATGCACAGATATCAACACACCATAGCACAATAAACACAGACAAGCAACATGGGAAAGAGTTCCAGTGTGTACATCTGATCTGGGACCGCTGCAATCTTTCAACTGCGCCTCCAACTGACCCGATGTCCACATCAGAGGGGAGGTTCTGAACAGTCCTTAAGCTGGTTGTTTTGCTACAACTCGCAGCTTGTCATGGTTCAACCTGACTCTCACCCAGTGTCAGCTTGGTTAGACATAAGCACCAAAAAGATACTGAAAAACAAACAAGGTATTTCAAAGATCTAACACCAGTCAATCACAAGGATTAATTTTTGTCAACCACACCTTGTTTTTCATTTTGTAAGTTATAAAAGATCCAATGAGAAAATCACTTTTTCTATAGTTTTGAAGATTTACATATACAGGAGACCCCAAAAAGAACATGATGTGATACCTTAAGAGTCTGATCAT